GCTTGAACTATTTTTACTCGTAATTAGCGCCTTTGTTTCATAAAAGTTCCTGTTGTGATTTGCATTCACGTAGAATAAATGGAATGAGGTGGGCGATGGAAGCACTTATAAGCACGACTTTGCTCTGTTGTTTAGAAACTTGCACCTGGGAAGAGCGCGCTTTGACGTAAAAGCGACCACAAGCTTGGAGACAGAAGGAACAACAACTCAGTAGTGAAGAGGTAAATGCACAGTTTAGCACCTTACCAATATACGCTTAACGACGGCCGATTAAATGGCTTTGAGATAAATGACGTTAATCGCAAGCAGGGAAAAACAAAGAGAACTTAAACGTTATCATTTTCTTTACCCTCTGCCAATATAAAGGAAATTAAAAAGATCGAAGACTTGAAATGCGAAGCGTAAGCTATTGGAACGTGAACATTTACACTTGGCCTTTGTATCCCGTCGTTCTGATCGAACCTTTTGAGCTATATTTACACAGTATTATATCTAACGCACCTGAGAAGTTTTTGAGCCAAACATAATGTGGAAGTACTTGCAATAAAGATCACTTGAATCTAAGAGCACGCCCATTTACATGTAAAAGTGTGAAGGAAAAAAGCAAAACGTTCCATCGCACACTGCTTTGATGCGAAGAGAAAAGTCAACATGTTACAAATGGAATTACATAAGCTTACGATATTTGTGGTAGCTTGGACATTAAAGCTCACCGCAGCCTTGATGGATTAACAAAGGCTTACATAGTTTTGTTTCGAACCATTGCGTCTGCATTCTCTAAGCGGGTGATATCTCTCACGGACACATTTGCATAATAGAACATGACAGAATCTACATCAATCAAAGTCAAGATACATGACTTTATGGGCAAAATGTCATTATATTGAAAAATAAGTGGTTTTCATAACGAAAGTCGGCTAGTGAAGGTTCCATCCAGGCATTTTGTTCAACCAGCTGAAGCTCGAGACAAACCAATCGTTAAGAACTCGGTATGCTATCGTTTATCTAGATACTGCTAAAGCTATTGTCCATAAGATATAAATATTGAAATGTTACAAAAAACTTACGGGCCGATATAAGTCAGTTTCAAGTGATTATTGTTTAGCGAGGTATACATATGCACTATTGAATGCAAAATCAAGGAGTGCCCAAACAACTCGAGAAACTTGTTGCCATACCATTAATTAACGTCTTCCTACGTAAGAGTCGTCAAAACGTTTCGAACCCACATGTACAAATCTCAAGCTGTTTTTTTTTTTTTTTTCAAAAAACAATAGGGTTGGTTGCAAAACAGATTGAACGCATTCAGTTGGCAACATCAGAAGGGACTTGATTATATAGATCGTTACAAAATATTACCGACCAAGTGTTGTTTAGGTTGCTTTGAATGAGCAAGATCCCTTCACCACATCATGACAAACATATGAAAAACTGTAAAACACAAACTCAGTACTTGCAAAATACCTCACAAAGTTGTACCCGAATACAGTATGCAATTAGGAGCAATTACTGCCCATATTGAACATTATTCATGTATACTTAATGTAGACTAACCGTAGACTGAAATGCCAGACAAATTTGGGAAAGAGGCACTTGAAGCTCACAACAGATACAGGTCTCTGCACCAGGCTCCTCAGCTGACTTGGTCAAGATCTCTGGAAAAGGACGCGGAAAGGTGGGCCAAACAGCTGGCGAAAGAAGGAAGACTGAGACACGAGGATATTGACGACGGAGAAAATGTGTATTCCGTAACGGGGAAGAGTGATGTTACGGGCGGGGAAGTCGTGGATCGGTGGTATGCAGAGGTCGACAAGTAAGGAGATAATAACAAACATTTTTTTCTTATTATCCGGCGAAAAGGCTTACACACAATGTTTAAACTTGTCAAACTGGCTAACTTGTTTGAGGAAATAAGGAGCGCTACTCGCAAAAAGTAGACGAAAAAGGCTTTATTCAGAATATTTTCTTTCTTACAAAAGGTGATGGAAATCAAATGAAGTACAGGAGAAATATTACGAGCTCTCGACCAAAGTATTGAAAAATTTAGACCGCGAGAAGGTTCGAAGCATTCAGCCTCAAGCTAAGCTTAATCCTGTCACACAGTATAAACGACATACAATGGGTCACATTTTGTCAAGAAGACGACATCGATCCATTCTAATCTTGGCATCGAACGATATGGTTTTCACACTGCCGTTATCTTCGGCCAACATTTTCCATTCTTTATTCACGTTACGACCCTTATCATTCACGATTTCCACGCAATTTGTCAATTCTGTTACACCACCCTTTTTTATAAAACAGTTATGACTTCAGAAGTCCAGGCTTCAAAAGCGGCACTGGCCACTTCACACAGATCGTGTGGCAAGAGTCGAAGGAACTGGGAATAGGCAAAGCCAAGAGTTCTGAAGGGAAGATCATTGTTGTTGCACGATACAGACCACCAGGGAATGTTCTCAATCACTTTCAGGATAATGTAAAACCAAAGGTAGTACACTGCTGTTATTTTGTATTAACAACTTAGTGTTGAACAAAAACTACAATCCTGGTCAAATGCCTTGGGACACTTTGCACTTGCCAACATATGGCACCTCCCCCTCCCTACCCCCATCACAATGTTGATGTCGATCCATCCAAAGTAGACCCAATATTCCAACATTGCTTTTGGGGGACGGGGCGGGGGGTTCAGAATATTGAATAATGACTTCCCACTTCAAAATAAGTGTCAAGTGTCCCAAGGACTTTAGGCTAGGATTGAAGTAGATTCTGGAGTTACTTGAGTTACGTTCCTTGTCCTGAACTAAACTTGTGTAAAATACCAGTAAGCCCTGTTTTCTCCTCTCGGTGGCAATTCCTTAAAACTTATGCAAAAAAATGGATAAATTAATTTATTAATTCGTCTATGTTTATCTTTAGCTTGGCAGCTCAGTAAGTTACAGTTCTAGGGAAAGAGATCCGAGAGCGTTCAGTAGTCGACTGGAACCGCAACGAGATTTTGATGGAGGTAGAAGGTCTCCTAATCGCCAGGAGAAAACGGAAACAGTAAGGGGAATTAATTAAAAAGAATAATCTTAAGGGAGATTAAGGGATAAGGGTCGGCCTTCTGGTCAAATGACTAAGGGTCCTCGAGCGAGGAAGTGAGTGTGTAAGGGAGCGAGCGAGGGAGCGAGTGGCATCCATATGTTTTAACATGTAATAACATGTAATAATGGAGATCGAAAATAATGGCGATCAAAAATTCAAACCCTATTTGTAACTGATTTATAACAGCAAGTGATAATGCATGTGCCTTTTTGTCTACAGTGTATCTGTTTTTTCCCCTAAATATTCAAGTTATATACTTCATTATAATGCAATGTTTTGCAATTTAACACAGCTCTATTTATGTTCACTTTTATTTTTTTTTTTCCGGTTTCAGGTCACTTACGACCGGGATGGTGTCAAAACAACAGTGACGAAAACAATTATCACTGACGGAGGAAGAGGAGGTCCGTGGATCGATCAGTAAAACCTGTCTTCTTGCCTTTTTCTGGAATTAACAAAGAGCACCTTTTTTTGAAATTATTAAGCAATACTACGATATTGTCTTCCACTGACAAACTTAACGACTTCTATCTTTTAGATTCATTTGAGAGCTTTACAAGGGATATGCGAAGTAGATTTGACGAAGGTAAATATTTCTCCAGTGAGACCTTTTGCTCTTAGATTCAACTATAAAGATTTTACAAAGACCATTGACCCACAGTAGCTAGTGTTCAATCGACTGACTTTCTTAACTTAATTCATTCTCTTCTCTGGGAGAATAGGCCATTCATCCGAAGCATACAGAAAATACCTTAGAGAATGATACCTTTGTTTCATTTTAAGGGGAAGCTGAAAACGTAGGTATTAAACACTGGACAAACCTAGTCAATTTGGTGGTCGAACCACTTTAAATTCATTCACATGCACCTGAGGTTGACGGAATTATTACTACCATTGTTTGTCAGTTATTGCCACTGTTGTTTATGTTCCTTTTCCTGTTGCTGTAATTGTTGTTGTTATTGTTCCTTGTTATTATAATCTGTTGCTGTGCGATGATACGTTAAATGACTATGTTCCTTTTCAGACCCTTTCAAGGATAGAAAGGACAGATGGGAACGAAATGGTAATGTACTGATGGTTACTTGTGTAAAACAACAAAGGGGCAACAGCAGCCTGCGTAACAAGCGTTCCCGTACGAAGAGCTTTTCCGCATTCTGGTCGCGCACAAATTGGAGTGGGAGCAAAATATTTCCAGATAACGGAACCATACTTAAAGTTCGAGACTTCGTGATAAGCATGCATTTGCAGCATTTTTGTTTTTTAAATAAAGCTTCCACTTAAGTATCAAGGATCTAACACTAATTAGTATAATTCTACTAGGATACTTTTGCAAATCCTGTAATCTGATTGGCTGAGCCATTGTATACCCATACCCACCCATTAGTGTGCAGTGGCTTGGTGTGGTCGACAAAATTGCATCGTTTTCTCGTTTCTCCCAAGTTTTGAAAGAACATTTAGAAACAAATGGATAATCAAATTACTGAGAAGACTAAAAGGAGGGCATTTACGGTTTCTTGAATTAAAAAAGCTCGAAATTTTTGAAAGAAACTGAAAAGCGCGCGTACACAACTGGAAAAGTCAAACTGACAATTCAGTCCGCGCGAGTTTTCTAAAGTGTGAAGTTTATTACTAAGACCAGTTGATGAGGCCGAAGGCCGAATCAGCTATCACGTCATAGCAATCTCGAGCTCATAATCTAATTGTTAAATAGAAAGTCCGAACTCATAACTCAATTGTTAAATATACCTGGTTTGCTATTGCTCGTTGATGGTTTGGTCAGTTGAACCTGATAGAACTGTTCTCTTTTATTACAGACCCCACTAAAGATAGGAAGGACAAATGGGAAAGAAATGGTAATGTATGGAATGTTTTAACAAAAGATGCGGAACCATATGTGAGACTTACTGATTAGCATGTAGCATTATTTTGGTTCTTAATTAAAGCTTGCAATTAAGTCTCAAGGATCTACTACTAAATAAATAGAAAGCCCGAGCTCATAATCTAATCGATAAATATACTTGGTTTGCTATTGTTTGCTGGTGGTTTAAGGTTATTTGACCTGACACAACTGTTCTATTTTATTGCAGACCCTTTTAAGGATAGGAAGGACAAATGGGAAAGAAATGGTAATGTATCGAAAGCTTCTTGGTTGGAAAAATCGTCATTATACCGCGATTCACCCGCAAATGTTACAAAATATTAAGAAACAACCCTAAAATAAATGTCGAACATTTAATTTGAGTGGATTATGTTCTCCTCTGACATTTAACAATTATTCCATGAAACCGCGTTGGATATGAAGTG